ATCTGCGCCTCGGAAATCCTTCTTCCCATTTACGCAACGCAACTTTATTGCGACAATGTGTCTTGGCTTACAATTGGCGTCTTACAGAATAAGTATTATCCGAGTGCTCGAGAGCGAAATCGTTCCAAGAATATACGAACGAACATTCTCTTCAGAATTAAGACGATTGTTTTCGCAATACTTGAAAAATACGTTTTGTTCTATGTTATGTATACATATCAACCTTATGCTACTTACTGCTTTATTTCTTGATGTATGTGACACAAAAAAATGATCTTTTCTAAAGGTTATTCTGTTTTGTACGAATATGTTACAGCAATACCCCGCATATTTTGGTTTCGATCAGTCCGGTTTGTAACGTTCGAAACAAGCTAAATTAGCACTGTTTATTTTTATATTCCTTGATTAGTCTGAATGTATTGTAAGTTGTATAATATAATACATACATTATTTAAGAGTTTACAAGTTTTTGTGATGAAACTGTTAAATACTATTAACAGCATTATTTGTATCATACATGTACATAATATTACAAAAATGAAGAAAAGAACTTTGCGAATCTTCGTCTTTACTTCATAAAGAAATAATTCTTTAGTAAATGAAATATATTTTTATAAGCAATTAAGTGGGTAAATTATATTTATAATTCGTTCTGTCGCTTAAAAATAACTGATAACAAATAATACTAAAAACATTTTCATGTAGCAATTTAATAATCAAATACTTGTTTGCAATCAGTGTATAAAAGCCACAATTGTCATAATATTTGTACAAGGCAAAAATCAAGTAATTACAACTACGATTAAAAAGTTAAATGCAGTTAAAAATAATTGTGTATTACCTCAAAGTTACGTAATATCTGAATACTTAAATGTATAGTTTATGACAATAATTTTGATGATATACAGTCAATAGATTTGTACTGGATTTAATTATTATTTCCTTAATTTAATCAATCATTCTTAGGCATTATTTATTTTCTAATTTATGTAGAAAGTCATTGCAAATACTAGTGTAATAGCGTTAACAAATGCTTCAGACAATAATTGATTTTCTCTATAAATAAAAATAGATTATTTTTTCAATTATACATAATTAGAAATACAAAATATTGGAAAAGAAAAAACATCATTTCATATGTTTTTTTCCTGAATAAAATATTTATTTTATTTAGAGCATGAATCATTCTTAGAAACAATATGATAATTTCTCGTAAAATATTTAATTAATGCTTAATCCATTAATTCAACCTTCGTGTTCAATCTAAACTCTTTTATTATATTCGTAATACTGGTTTATAAAATCTTGTCAACTCAATATATTATAAGTTATATAATGAATATGTTAATATGTTGTTAAATTCATCTATAGTTAGTTTCATAAGTAATATATAAATCGACAGCAGTAAATCTATGAAAAAATCAAGCAAAACTTTTATACTCAAATTTAAAAATTACACAATATTCAAGAGAATAGGAAGGTGTTATACGTATTAATATTCTTCAAGACGCAGATTTTGTGTGACAAAAGGGAATTTTATTAAATTTTTCTCGTATTCGCTTTCCTATTCTTGAGTGGAACCATCGGAGCCGAAGTATTTGTAGGCTGTGCGGGTTCGAGAAGGCGCAGATCGTAAAGTTAGAAATTAAAATTCCGACCGTGTTTCTACAGCGTGAATGAAATTACATAATTGTATGAATTTCTGTGTCAGCGGGCTTCGTTGCTCCTCCGCCGTTTGTTACCTTCTTCCACATCAACGCAATAAGCCTTAACAGATAAATTGTGGCTGCGGCTGAATTGGATAAGAGGTTGCAGCCGGAATTGGATAATTCGTTTTGAACGTCGCGTTTCGTGCACTCAATCAGGATGTTCGGAGAGTACGTTTAACCCGTCGTCCTTGCAGGCAAGCCCGAAATGGTCTCTTATTAATTGCCGTTCTTTTAGTTGTTCTCTTTTTTCATTCTTGCTGCTGCTAGTTTTTGCTTCTTTTTTTTTATTATTATATATTCATTTTTATTTCGCATAAAGAACTATTATTGTATATGCGAAAGAAAGAAAGGCAGCGGTTCAGATTTTAATCGAGTTAATAAGTTGACTGCGTGGGCTACGACCCTGCTGTATCCACATTCTAACTGAAATTGGTTATTCCGGATTGGAGTCGTTCCGCAAACAACGCCAATGCAAATTCGTCCCTCAAACGTCGCAGACCGACAGAAAAAATAAATGGATATCCGAGTAAACTAACCGAAATCCAAACAAGACCGCAGATCTTCACTAAACTGAACACACATTAAGTAATGCAACAATCAACAAACGCAAACAGCAATCAAGTTCATTACATCAGAACGGCGTTTATGGAAATTCCACATTTTTTTTGAGACTAACTAATTTGGATTTGCGTATTTGCAATATAAATTAATATCAGTGAAGGCTCGTATAATTTTCTAGTGGTATCAGAATAGATTGAAAAACATGGAACATTTCCTTCATTTCTACAATGATAAATTAAAAAATAAGAATGGTATAAATCAGTGATTCTCAAAATGAGGGTTGTAGAAATATTGGTGACAGATCAATCCGGGATGTTTTTCAACACATACCCATTCTTCAGGGGTCCTTTCAAACTTTTATGTGCGGACCAAAAAGTTCGTGAAACGCTGGTATAAATAGAATATTTTACAATAGAAGAGCCCTTATGGATGAATCACCACTGCATAATAGATTTATCTACAAAGTGAAATTAAAAATTGCATAAATAAATTTAATAATAATTAATGAACAAAATAATCAATATCGATTGAAAAAAAAAATAGTTTTTTTCCTCTTCGTTCATAAATAAAATCTATAAAAAAGAAATGCGATAATACAACATGAAGTTTTCTTTATACAGGAATAGCTGTAACTCAGCACTTAGGATGATCCGAAACTGATTCATAGTTATTTTTACAAAGGTATTACCAAATTATATTAATGGAATAATAACAGAAACCGAACAATCAAAATATATTGGAAATATATAATAGAATTTTCTTCTTTCATTTCTACAGATTGAAATTTTGTAATACAATGCTTTTCTTCGTTCTTATCTACAAATATATACTTAAATTATTTAGTTTATACTGTTGCAATCCTGGATAAATGGATAATAACCAATTTCAATTGAAAATATTTAACTGACACGGATTTCAGAACAAATATTATTAAACAATAATCCCAATTGCATACTAGGCTACAGCTAGGCAAACTGCCACTGATTAACATACATATTAACAAAGCCATTATCGAATTTTCAGCAGTACATTAATGCAACACACAATTATTGAACCCGAACCAAAACAGAAAATCGAGTTTCATAACTTTAAATTTATATAGTTATTACAAAACTGGAAACGTTGCGTAAGTGAATTTAATAAAAAAAAAATGACGTCAGGCAGCAGAATTGGAAAAATTTGGCAAGCTTAATTTATAATAGCCAAAGATGGTTTGCGCTCTCGAGACGTCAAAGAAGTGAAAGTCCGTTCGGCAATGAAACGTCGCCGTTGAAGTTTTCCCAAAGACAAAGCGCACGAATTAATGTCAATTTAGATGTGAACGTTGAATGTAATAACGTAATTTTCGTTTCCTGTCATAAAAGCCGAGCGAACGTTCAATTTAGATTCGTTTTGTTTATGAAACTAAATCATTTTCATCAAATTTCACTGTGTTGAAGAAATGTTATTTGCATAGTTTTCTTTTTATTTCCCGAAGACTGAAGAATAAATTATGATACATAAGGATTTATAAACATTTTTAACATGTTTATAATATGTTAAAAACACTATTGTTTCATATAATTACAACAATAATTGATAACAAAAATAAATGTTATCTTATGGACCATAGTTTAATAGGGAAATGTCTTCAAAAATATGCAATTTACTATATTGATTTATAAAAATCTTAACTTCTTTATTTCATTGATATAAAATATTCACTTTAACTATTTCATGTTAGCGAATTATTATTTGAACTGCTCATCACGTTTTAGATACTTTATTTACTTTAATATAAACCAATTTAAATTATGAAATTTAATATATAAATTACAACGAATGAAAATTAAGTACTTAAGTGCTTAATCATGATAAATTAAAGTAATTGCACATAATAAACACTACTTAAAAATATTCGTGCCTTATGAAAATAGAAATTATACAACCAAATTATATTGTTTGTATTTTGTTTTCTTACACACGTTAAATTCTAATTATATTTTATGTAATATGATATTCATGATAATTATATCAACTAAAAACATTTTCTTTGAAATTTTCACATTTTATGAGTTACTTAATTTTTATAGTTTAAATCTATTTCATTTTCATTAGAAAAATTTAATTTATGGAAAAAGTAATTTCAAATTCATCAAGCAATAATATTTTTTTGATAAAAAGACTGATCTAAATTATTATCAAAATTATTAATAAGTTAATAATTGTAGAATTAATATATTGAAATAAAATCCAAAACTAATTGAGTTCACTAGATTTACACATTTAATGGATAAATGGGGAAGTTAATCGAAAATATTAAAAAAAAAATGTTAATAAAAGATTTGAAAAAAATTGATGATGAGAACAAACATTTTTATAAAGCGTCGTATATTTTGCACGGAAATGTATGCATAAGTATACACTAAATGCAAGTGAGGATATGACGTATTAAGAAGTTAACTTGCTATATGAACAATAATTACGTTTAATATATAAATTACTGATGACCCAAATAATAATCATCAAGCAGAGTTACCTCTTTTTCTCCACCTCCGACAAACAGAGGTTAATACACAACTGTTCCTTCGTTTCTTATCTTGAGGCCATTCGAATAAACAGCACGGTGATTTTAGCAGGGTTGAAATTTCTTCTCTTCAGTATTTTTATTTTGACTGTTTTTTAACATTCTGTTTTGCTCTTTTTTTGTCTTTTGTTTTATTTTTTTTATTTACATTACCAATTCTATAGAGTTACCAACCGTTCCGAGCGAATGCGAGATGGAAGTGGCAAACGTTCCGCCGATCCCGGCCCTAACGACGGCGCTGCCGCCTCCGGGCCAAAAGCCCACCAAAAAGCAGGCTAAATTGCTGCAACAAAGGCTCGATAGATTAGCCAGGGTCAATATACATCTGCACGGTAAGAGCCGATCTTTCTTTTGTTCGTCGATGGTGAGGGCATCCTTCCTCAAAGCGGAAGGTCGTAGGGGACAAACACCTACTAACAAAACCCGTACTTCAGTATTAACTAACAACTATAACGTAGATTTGATTTTGTAGATATCGCACACGAAATATAACTAATAGACATTAGACAATAACCTTATTTATCTTTGATATATTTGTCATTAAGAAACTACTTGATTTTATTATTAATAACACATTAGATTAATCCACTATAATGTAGACCAGTGATTCTCAAACTTTATGGTCCACGACCCCCTTTTGGACTTAAAAAGTTCCTGCGGCTCCCGATGAGGGATATGTGTAGAAATACCATCAGGATTGATCTGTAATTATTTTTTTTGACTTCCCAAATATATGACCACATTTTGAAAATTGACGTCTACATCAGCGATTCTCAAAGTGTGGTCAAATATTTTGGGATCAACCTTAGAAACATGATTTTTTTCCTTGTATTTTTTGATAATTTCAACCAATTTTATTTAAAATAAGTAACATATTGAGAGCTTCTTTTTATCATATTTTTGAGTACAAATATGATATTTGCCGTCTTTTTTAATGAAAGATAAATTTTATGTATATTTATCATCATAATTATTTTAATTTTAATTACTTCCTTCGTTCAGTATACTAAGAGTGAAAAGTCATTAATTCAGTATTAACTTTCTTCGTATTTTATTACTCAATACTTTCAATGATGTTTTTCATCAATTCTTATAAATTTAACTCGCGATTTTTCATTATACTAAAAATTTATTGTTGACATTTATTTAGAATTTCAACCAAATTGTAATGTATGGTTAAATGTATTGACGAGGACCGTGTAAAATTGCTTCAGAGGGATGAATTTGGCCCGCGGGCCAACTGTTTAAGACCACTGACTTAAACTATCCAATCTATTAAATTTAATTTATATTTAATGTAAAATCAACATTGAAATGTCTGCAAAATGCAAACAAATTAATGAACGCGTATTGTTCTCAACAATTTGTAACTAATTTTCCGATCGTCGCTCGTTTTTTTTTCCATGATGTGTCAAAACGAAACAAAACAAATCCGAAAGCAAATGAACGATCAACTCACCTGCGTCGTTCGAAACATGTCCTAACTAACAATTGTTTAATCGAACTGACGAGTCGATGTGAATTTCACCGGAGTTTTTCTTCTCTACGCAAATCCGACCATATATTCCATATTCGATCCAGCAGCCTTATTTCCGGGCATTGCTGGAACGGATTTGACGAACTGAATTCCACGAACGAGGATTCCGCGCGGTTTAATGAAACGGAAGCCGAGAAAAAGTCCTCATCTTCCTTCGAAATGCTAATAAAATCCAAGATTTTTTTTTTGTTCTCAATTCGGAATCATCTATTGCAGCGCAACACCGATTATTCATTGCATTCAAATCCGGGTTTGCATTAGCATAAGCGTTCTTCGACTAATGAATCGGATTCCATTTGGAAATGGTTCACTACTACCACTTTTTTTTTTCATTCTCTCTTTCCCTTTTCCGTGCATTCGTTGTTTATCGCATCTGCTGAATGCAAATTGGAGGTAATTAACGTGAGCGAATTTATTAACGCGGAAATTGGAGCGGTCCGGGAATTAATGTACATAGCCTACTGTAAAAAAAACAAACAAAAAATGTTATTACAACTCATTGCCGAGGGTAATCACATTTCTGTGATAATTGTTTTCCTTCCTTTTTTCTTCCAACTTAGGAATGAGAAAATTGCGAATTACAGCGTTTTTTGTTAGGAAACGAATTCCGGAAACAATTGCCAACCAATCAATGTCATCGATTATATTACATAAGAATGGGATTGGGACATCTCCGAGTTTGTTTTTCTCATTATTCGATCCGTCTGTTGCAGCTCTCTTCGCGGCAGTCGAAAATGGACATCTGGAGAAGGCGAGGACCATCCTGGAATCCACGGACGTCGACGTCAACTGGTAAGGGGGATTTCTATCTCTTTTTTTTATTGTAGTTTCTTTCATTCCATTTTTTCCCTCTTCGGTTGGCTTTCAACAATCAGACGCAATCAAAAAGTAAACTGAAACGTAATAAAACGCGAAGGGAAAGGTAATTGCGTTTAGTCAACTTCTGCTTTTCGGAACGCAACGGTGAGCACATTTTTCAGGCGCTTCTATTTAGAATTTACTTGAAGGTTCGAGTTAGCAGGTTACACGGTCCAGGTAAAAGTTTTACTTTTGTTGTTTTACCGTTACCTGGCGACAAATGTTCAGACGATAACTTTGCTCCGGTTTGTTTCCGGCTCGGATTGCTTTCGGGATTGAGACTTATCTGCCATGTAAAGGCGTTCATTTTCGCATGTTTACAATGAACGATTGGAGTTTTCCGTTTTCGTAAATTTTGTCACGTAGCCGAGTCTCCATCGCTGCAGATAAAAAGCCTTGTCTACATCTACTCCATTGTCAGCGATTCGGGCGATACGTGCCCTTGCGTATAACGCTCGAAGTCTTAATTATATTGCCTCAAAATAAAGAAGAATCAGAAGTTTAGAATCTAAACTTTAATTTGTCAACAAAAACTGAGAAATTGAGGTACAGTCAACTCGAATTAGAGATGCAAGACAAACAATATTAATAAAATCCAATATAAGGGACATGAGTTTAAATCTCAACAAAAACCCTTATAATGCCACCAATTTGTTGTCTTATAAAAAAATATAAATTCTCAACAAATACTAAATAAAATTGCAAAAAGTATATGTTATAATCCAACAAAGTGACTGCTATACACACTAATTACGAATAGAAAACCTAAACAATATAAATAATTCTAAATTTAAATTTGCAAAATAACATTTATGTTATTAATTTTACTTCTTTTCTTTTTTAATTTATCAAGGCTTCAGCAACAGTTTACAACTATGCACAAATTGGGTCTTGAGCTTCAAAATAAAACAATAACCTATGTAATAAAATCATACAGTCAATTATATTTTATATTATAAATTTTCATATTTTCTTTTATTAAATTTATCAAGGCATAAAAGTTATGTGCAGTGCAATTATTCCATATTTTTATGACGTTTTTTTGGTAATGAAACTTTCTGAATTTCATACTACACTAAATAGAGATAATTAGAATATATCAGCTCTAAATAAAAAATGTGGTGAGTATTAATTTATGATTCACCCTTATTTTATTTTTTGCAGGGATGATTTATTTCAATTTGTATTTATGCCAAAATCATTTCGGCTCGCAGCCAAATTAATATGATTTTTTTTTATTAGTTCAGTCCTTTAATAGTTACGATTATTTTTTCAGAGTGCTCGAATTATGTTCATATTGAACCAACATTCAAAATTTGTTCAGTTTATTAATATTATCAATATAAATGTAACATCCATAACTTCTTACATATATTATTATAATTGTAAGTGTTTTAGAAATTTAATTTATTAAAAAGAAACTAAATTTATTTTAACGTAACTTCCAGTTAATTAAGAGTTTATTACCGAAGTGGTATAAATCAATATTTATTTAACATTACACGCAGTACATTGGTATTAACGTCAAGATTAAACTATCATTACTTAACTGGCACGTACAATACATACGAAGCTATGAAATATATTTCCATTCTTTTAATATTAGTATTCGTTCATGAAAACTTTTATAATTTTTTAATTAAATAATTAAAAATAAGATTAACTAAATAAATATATTAAACTTAACATGAATTGAAAGTTAATTAAGTAACAAATTAAAGATGTTTATAATTCGCACAATTCATTTATATATCTGGAGAAATGAGAATGAGTTTTTTTTTATTAATCAATCAGGATAAATTGAAACAATTGAAAAGCCTATACCCAGTTGAATAAGTCTGTTACCTAGGTGATATAAATCAATAAAGATTTAACGGCGTCGTCAAGATTAACAGACCATTTATCAATCGGTGTGGATACGTTTGTGTCAACAGAGATTATTCTTCCATTCATTTATATTAATTTCCTTAATAATAGGCAAGTTAGAAGAATAGAATGTGTATATTAAATTAATCTTAATAATCATATATCCAGTTAAATAACACTTTGTTACTTACGTTATATAAGTGAATAAAAATTTAACGTCGTCGTCAAACAGGCATTACTCCTTCAATCTTTCATACACACTTTTAGAATAACAACGGATATAAACTTGAAGATTTGTGACTAATCAAATGCATCAAATTCATTGCTGATGAGTTATACATCCAAATTATATTCATTGCTTTGTTTTGAATTGTTGCAACTGCTTTTTTTTGTAGGTATCTTTACAAACATTGAATTTTAAGAGATAATGTTGCATCTCCTACTTTATTTATTTAATTTACAACATTAGGTTGCAAAATCTGGAGATGATAATTTCAAAATGCTATTAAAAACATAACTGGTTTAACCGAAGAGGGAATAATAGGTTTTATGTTGTTTTTAAACTGTTATTTCAATGGCGGTGCCGTATAATCCAATTATAGTCACATCAACGATGCTTTGATTAAAACGCGCTTTAATTGTCGCCACAGAGAATGATAATATTTTTAATTTTGCGTTGCAGCTCGAACAACGACGGAATTTCCCCGTTGGACGTGGCCGTCCTCAGCAACAATCGACCCCTGGTGAAGATGTTGATCAGCTTTGGCGCCAAGGAAGGAAACCAATGCAGTAAGTGAACAAGTCTTTCTTTATCTAACGCATTTCCCTGGCGATTCGAAAAATTCTCCGATCAATTTATTCTCGCATCAGTATGCGATTTATATTCCATTTACGTTCGATCCCGTGTCGCGATTTTAATTCGAATCTGAAAACGATGAAATTTGGCGTCGCGACGCCGCGTTGCCGCAGGTATATCGATTCGTCACCGTCGCAAACCAGAGGATTCACACTGTGTGCCGCAATCTCGTGCAACTTTTATCTAACACTCAATTTGCAATTTATGTTACCGATTAATGCAGACATTCGAATCGGAAGATTTCAATGAATGAAACGAACCAACGAAACGAAATTCGAATTGCGCAACGATAATCGTACAGCTTGAACAAATTACAATAGTTCATTATCTTATGTTGTTTTGCTGTAATTCATTTGTTGAGGGAGTTTAGATAAAAGGAATTTTTGTTATCACGCAATCGCTCGCGCCAGATAAAGAAAACAATTTCAAAATCGGCGACGTTTCGTTTCGCTAGTTGTGACAGCTTAACAATATTATTGGTGGATATGATTGCAGCGGTCAATCCGGAAAAATTGGGCTCGCACCTGAAGCAGCTTCTCGGAGACGCTGAGATGCGCCTGCAGGAATTCGGGGGACTCCTGGAGGAGAACTGCGGAGCACCTCTGAATACGAGAGCATCCTTCTCCAGCATCATTGGAAATGCCTATCATCCGTCTTCAGCGATGACCGGTAAAGCCTTTTAAAGTTTGCTTAAATGTTTACGTAAACTCTAACCATCGTATCCTATCTTATTTCAGGCTGTGCGGGAGGTGATAGCGACAAGCAGGCCATAGCCTGGGGAAGGCGGGCCAAAACCCTCAGGAGATTAGTGCTAGGCTTTACTCAAGCTCGACCACCGGATCCTCCGTCCCTGGTAGCCGTCGATATTACCGGAATTAATACAGTTTTAGTCAGATTACTCGAACCTTCGTCCCATGATTCTCATGTTACAACCAAGTTTAAAGGTAAATCTACTTAAGTACATAAAAAGTAACAGTAATAATAATATAGTTTTCGCTTGCAGTGCAATGGTCCACACGAGCCGACTTCGCTCCACTTACTGGAGAATTGGATATTAACGATATATCGAAGCCAAGCTGCACCATAGAATTGACCCAAGGCCGAAGATACTTCTTCAGGGCGGCTTGCGGTAATCTCAAGGGATTCGGTGGTTACCTATCCTCCACACCGGCTTCTGTTGTTCCGTCTAGCTGGAGGGAAGTGGATGACCGCGAGGAGAGATTTACAGGAAAAGTTAAGGACTTGGAGGTACTGACAGATGAGATGCGTCATCTCAGGCCGGGCAGCGAAATGCTTGAAGCGCCCGGTCAACAACGCCGTATGCAACGGAAGAAGACCACCATCAAGCAACTATTCACGGCGGCCAGTAAGTTTCAAAAGAATCTCAGAAGAGGCATATATCTGGCATGCATCCTCTACCACGAAGACAAGGTTTTGGTTACCAATGAGGACTTCCTGCCTGTGATCGAGATTGACGAGACATTCCCGAGTTGCATCCACAATGATCTTCACTGGTTCATGAAGGTTGCGTGCAACTGGGATGACACTAAGTCACTTAAAGCCGATATGGATAAACATTCCTCGTCAGCAATCCATTTTCGTACCAAACTTCTACAAGCCGCCCTCCAGATGCAGTCCACTCTTTGTCTACAGGATCTGGGTCAACTTTACTACCGCCCAATTAAAGACTCCCAAGGAACTATCGTTCTTAGCACGATCAATTACGTGAAATCGCCGAAGAACGTTTCAGTTCTAAACTCCAGATGGTTACCAATGAACAAAGTGTTCAAGAAGACGGTCCTCGGAGATGATCACAGCATCTCTGAGATCCTTATGTCTTCCATACAGGAACAAATCAACTACCATCAAGTATCCAGCTTAAAGTTAGCAAAAGGACTCTACCTGGTATACTTGAAGATGCAAAGCTCTGTAGATCTCATTCAAGTGGTGGTCCCGTCCAAGAGCCCGAACATGCTGCCCCACTGTAAGATCAGAGATAATCCGCACGTTTCAGCGTAAGCAATAATCACATTACAAAAATATATATTTTATTTATTAAATAAATCATGTTTTAGTGAGGAATGGGATTTCCTGAAGCAGCAACACATTCAAAATGATTTGGACCATTCCACTGAGCAACAGCGAACTTTCCTAGAATTAGTTACCAGCGCCGCTAAGAGACTCTTCAACTATATGGATATAACGAACGAGGAAGCTCTCAACCATAGACTGTACGATACGGAGATCATCGATTTAACTGACGAGGTCAGCTTTATAGTGATCTGTCCTTCTGCTGAATTCTCTTGCTCCGTTCCGGGTCAGCGAGAAATGCTACTCCAACGTGGAGATCTCCTTAGCTTACCGATACCGGTTTTTGAAATGATCCATCTGAATACATATCAGAACAATATCATTCAGAGGTATTCTCGGCTTAACTGCGTTTTGGAATTGGATTCGGCCACCGCAAACCATTTGCACCGTGAGGCCTTCTCCAACAGTGAGGTTGCCGTTGCCAAAGAGCGTTTGAATAAGTTGCAGGATTTTCAAACAAAACTGAATTTAATCTGGCGCTGCGCTAGATGGTTGATGGAGGTGATAGCCTTCGCCAGAGACAAGACAACTCAGGGTATCTCGATGAAGTTCATTCTGGACAAAGAGGTACATACGAGTCCGAAAAGGAATTTGCTGCAGCTGCCGGCGCGCGACGGTAAGATCGTGAAGAGTACGCCAGGTCGTGGATCGTGGCCAGGACCAGGTGCTTCCGCTCAGCCGTCTCAGACTTCCGGTCTTCTCAATGAATTCAGCAAAAGTGAGCAACATTTAAATATGACACAGAGCAATTCGCAGTTTCTCAACGCCAGTGATACGGAATCTCGCAAGAACTCCGACAGCTATGCCAGCGATATCTTCAACGAATGTTTGGTTCCTTCGAGAAGCGAAGATATGCTTTTCTCCATACCCATGACTTCTGACCAGAGGAACAGGTCTAGCACCATAAGCTCGGTTTCGGCGACCACTAGTCCTCTTCTTAACGTGCGTCCGATGTACAGCGGAAGCCTTTTGAGCGTCAACACTATTAATACAACGAACACTTCCGATAGTATGCATAGCTTGAGCTCGGACAGCGATAATAGCTATCCGATGCCGCTCGGTTGCAGCACACCGCATAGGTTGTCCAAACCAAAGAACAAGATGGTTCCTTCCAGGAGCATGACGAACATGAAGCAAAACATCATGGAGATTACAACAAAGTCCGAGAGATTCCGACCAAAGCATCTAGACATCGAATCTAACTTCCTCTCTTCGAATCTGGATACTCATCTCTCTAAAAGCCTGACGAATATCAAGAATTCGACTGACGACAAGACGTACTTGAAACCGGCTGATCAGATTAGCCAGAAGCAGAAAATTGCTGATCCAACTTTTAAAGCTCCCGTGAAGGAGCTAGAGCCAGGCATATTGCAGGTCTTCGCTGCCTACGAAACTGGTTTAGCCAGCGGAACGAGCCTCAAGTTGCACGTAACCCCGAAGACGACAGCCAGGGAGGTTGTCGATCTAGTGGTGAAACAACTCAATATGGCGGTGGTACTGAAGGGCAAAGATGGTCCAATTTATCCAGCCGAGAAGTTGAAGAATTTTTGCTTAGTCGCTGTAATCGGCGCCAGAGAGCGTTGCCTGAGGGATGACTTCAAGCCTCTTCAGCTGCAGAACCCTTGGAAAAAAGGCCGTCTCTACGTTAGGCAAAAGCAGGATGTGTTGGCTGCGCTAGAACACAGCAGCAAACAAACGGCCATCATCTAACTTTGATAAGAGATGTTGTATTACGAGAGATTAAGTTAAGAAGACAAAGATAACGATAACAGGGTCTAAAAGAGTTTTAACCGTAGGAATGAACATGTGAAAGAAAACCTGTTTGAGTGGTGCTAAGAGATATTTTCGTTCGTTAATTTTCTTGAAGTTTACTAATTTTTTTGTTAGCAATAAACTCGAGAACTGTAAATACCAAAGTTAAATTAATCAACGCTTTCGTCCATACGTGCATGATGGGAGGAGACTCAATCGAGCGGGCATTCTAACACCGATTAACTATTTTATCCGCATTTAGATGAAAATTAGATGCAACAATTAAACTGGTGTATATTTATTATAAATGTTTTAGAGAGTCACTGTCTATCGTGAAGAAGATGAAGAACACTAAGTAGTCACAACAACAAAGTTTCCTTTGATTTCAACGCTTCGAATTTATATCTGTTTTTTTTAAATAGTTTTGTTTATTCTTTTCTTTTTTCGTATTCTCGTTTGGCTTAGTACAAAGACCGAAGATGGAGTTTTGTTATATTTTGTACATAGTATATAAGAGATTTATTGTTTGTGTGGGATCTAAAGACTAAATCGTGTATAGTTAATTTATATGTGTGATATGTAAAGATAATTGAAATAGCTTTATTTTATAGAGACCGTATTTTTATTTCCTTACATTTTTTTACGTTTACTGTTTCTTCTTTCTTTCTCAATTTTGATTTCTTCATCCGACACTGATACGCATTTCTTAGAAACTAAGTCTACAGATATTGGAAGATTGAAGGGAAGGAACATGATTGCACTCCATTATTTCAAAATGGAAACAAAATGTTTTAAAGAAATATATTATATATTGTGTAATATAGAAAATATATAAATATGTATATGAGAAAATAAATATATGATGTTATAAGAATAAATATGACTACTTTATTTTATATTGCTCCACATAAAAACAATTAACTAATTCAGTAAATTCTCGATATTTGGGACATATTTTTTGTCTTGAAGAAACGAAAAACGTGTTGCATATTAACAAATTTACAACATTCCATCTGCTTAGAATAGCTAAGAAATCCAACCAGTTTTTCTTTATTGTGAAATCAAATTATGTAATAATCCTTTTAACTATTTAGACAACTAACATCACATTCTCTGTGTTTTCGAAATTATTAAAAGTAGACTTGGAATCAATCCAAGAATTATCCAAAAATTATAAAATCAAGAGATCATATATAATGTCATTTTAACATCATCCAGAAAATGTATCGCTATACAACTAATTGAGTTACAGATTATAAGAATTTTATATTACTTTTTTTTATATTTTTTTAATGTTGCATATATGTATAGTTATAATAAACAAACATTTGTTTTTTAAATTTTTTTAAACTTCTTATTTCAAATTTTAGAATTTTGTGTATATTAGACAGATAATTATATATTAATGATAGTTGGTTTTTGGGTTGCCTAAACAACAGTCAACGTATAGGTTTTTGCTTTACCTAGCTCCAAAATTACCTAGTAAATTCTAGATATTTATTGATTTTTAAGTCCTGTGTATAAAGTGCAATTAAGACCAAATGAAAATGAGCAAACGGTCCGGAGAAGAGTGTCGTAAATACAAAACTGGTAATTGAAGTGTTTTCCTTTTATTGAAATCAATCTATCCAACATTAAATCCATGTGTGATACTCTAAAACACTGTGCATGCAAGTGAATGCTTCGTTGGTGTTTGGTGATTATTAAAATCTTTAAATTTGTCAGTGTTTGTTAGGCTCCAATTCGAGCAGGAGGGTGGATAGATCGAGATCCAGGTCCAGGTCACCGAGGAGAGAAGAAGAAAAGAAATTGGATAATGTAGGACTTGGGGTGAAGAGTCGACTGAAAAGTGTTGGCATACAGATGAAACTCACCAACCAGAGGACAACAGCAGTACCAAGGCCTAAATTGACTGTAGCTGCAGTATTCAACCAAGACAGTGATGAAGAACCCGAAGAGATGCCACCAGAGGCTAAGATGAGAATGAGGAATATTGGAAGGTTTGTGTTGTTTCAGACAATTTGTTGGCTCTATTATAGCAAATGCAATTTCAGGGATACACCCACCTCATCAGGACCCAATTCATTTGGCAAGACGAAACAGGGATTTTCAGACACAAAGAAGCTATTTGAGAAGAACATGAAAGAGGCAATGGAAAATGCATTAAAAGAGGATTAATGTAATTTAGACTTCCCCCCTTTTAGTACCTTGATTAAATTAAAACTCAAATTGATGAGTAACATGTGAAACCACACAAATAACTTTTTAGATAGTTTTTAAATTAGTACTGTATTTTAAATTAAATTTTTATTTCTTTAATGTGACTGATTTCCGTAATAAGGCAATTACTTTTTATTTATTTCATGGATAATCCATTGGAATTAGTCAAAGTTTTAAATGATGGAAATATAAGAAAATAGATTTTATAATGTTTTGTGGCTTTTTTCTTTTCTTTTTATTTAATTATAAATCAAATACATAAGGAAACACTTTTACATGTTTATTCACTTCCTTTGTTGTTGTCCAGCACGGGCATTGTCCCTTGGGAAGTTACGTTGTGGTGGAGTCCTCTTCTTCCTGTCTTCCTTGCTCCTGTTACGTACTACTTTGCTGTGGATGGCGCAAGACACACAGTAGTGCAACTTGGCGTACAATTTAGGAAGTACGTATGCTAAAAACGAAAGTTAACAACTTGTTAGTTTTGGATGAAAAATCTTTGAGCATTTAATACTTACGAGAGTAGACTGAAGCTTCAGTTATGTCTCTAACAGCAGCAGCCTCAACAATGTTACGGATAACAAATTTCTTGATTGCTTTGTCTTTTGGGACACAACGGGCACAGTTGGTGCAACGGACGGGCTTGACATGGCCACGTCCGTGTTTGGAGCGTCCTCCGTTACGCCTTTTGCAAGTCTAGAAAAGAAACACAGATAAATATTAGTGATGTCGCTATGCAGCTTCCATCAACCATGTGGAAAGTTAGGTTAAGATGTTGTTTATCTGGATTATTTACGGCAAACTCTAGTAATTGAAGAATACTGATAGGTTTTACTTAGAAATAGGTTACATATATCTAATATCGTTGAAATAAATAACTTTTAAGAAGCCGAAATGCAAAAATTTACGTAAAAAAAGACGAAAAATTACCATTCTGTGTTGATGCCGTCAACTGCTAGCGGAAATAAAGAACCTGTCATGGTGCGTTCGCAGCGACGTTAAGTTGACCCGCCGGAAGTTGGCGCTGTTCAAACGCGCGCTAAATTCAAATTGGAATTACATCATGAAGAAAATAGGGGTCGAACGCATCATTGCAATTTCAGAAAATACTTCGACAATATACAAATAAAACTTCAATAAAGTAATAATAAATATACATTAAAGAAATATGTGTACCGTGAAATATATATTTAGTAAAATATATTAAATCATTAAAAATTAAATTAGAAATAATAACAATAAAATATTTAGTGGAATGCAACGATTTTTTAAATTTTACATTTATTGTCAGTAATATACGTATTTTTTGCATTTGGCTTCTCAAAATTAATATCAGGTATCCCCTTACGAATTAGTTCCGTTCCAAAGGGTTGTTCGTAAGTAGAATTTGTTCGTAAGTTGGGGGAATTTTAAAAATTTCAGTATATACTTATCTTACCACACTTTATCATGGTTTTTACTTTTATATATGTTAGATTATCCATTTTTGTTTGGACAGTTAATTTTGTATCACTATATATCTCCTTGTAACAAGTTAGAGCTTTTAGAATTTTGTTCGTAACGAACTCGTAAGTCCGGGGATACCTGTATTCAAAAAAATATGTTTATTTTTATCAAAATAATAACAATGTGAAGCTAAATATGTGTTATTTGCCATTGAAAATATTTTTACAATAATATTATTTATATTTTTGAGAATAATAAAATTTAAAGAAAATCATTAAGTTTACGTAACATTTCTAAAGAAAGATTAGTTTCAAAACAAGAAGTCTGAAAACGCTGCATTTCTATCTATAATAATAACGAAATAATCAAGATTAATAAATCTAAACACCACAAATATTCAAACAATATTCATGGTTGAAGCACTTCGCGGTTTATGGTAGTGGAATCGAAACCTCCTAACAAAATACATACACCACATAAGAAAACTAATAGAGCAAACGAATGTTTGCAGTCCATTTAGTTAATCAAGCGAATGATTTTTGTGAAAATTCTGCGGTCTACGAGTGAAAGCGAGCCCTGTATATATACCGAGTTGTGATTTTTACTAAGTCACATATTCCTTCACATCACAGAACGCACCATGAGATTCGTAAGTTGAAAACTGTTGGTTATAGATTTTTTTCAAATTTACTTTTTATTTTTCAGTTGCTGAAATTATTGTTCCTCGTCGGATTATTGGCTCTTGCTACCGGATATCCAGTCTACGATAAAGATGAAGAAGCGGATCAAGCAGTGAGATCTCAAAGGCAGGCTTCTGGAGATAGCTCAGATCACCACGACGTCGTCGACTTTGGGGCTCATACAGGAGACCACGGTGCCTTCGGATGGCACGCCGATTTCCCGGTCTACACCCATTATTAATACACACCTCGACGTGATGAAAAGCAAACATCTAAAAAAAAAAGACTGGAAAACGGATTACATTTTCATTGTTTCATTTCATTTATCAACTAACGCATTTCCATTCATTCGCGTCTAGAGGCGCTAACAACTTGCGAGCTCGTTCAATTCACATTAATTGTGCAGGCTGGCAAACACTCAATTAACACTCTTCATTGTTTCATTTCTTGCAATTTCAACTGCAATTAATTGCAGGCGCATTCTTTCATTTCTCCTCATCATTCATTTCTTCTTCTTCTCTTCTAATCAACTGAACTTCTTCTCTCATCATACTCTCTATTATCTTCTCTGGCTCCTCTTCACTTTCATTCCGCTGCAGTGTATTACGTAATTTTTGTTATTTAGTTTTCTACGGACGAATAAAATAAATTTGTATGAAATATTAATTGACATTTATTAACCTTTACAATTAATCAGTCTTATATCAAAACAATATTTACAGTCTTTCAAGCATTGACATAAACAAGTCGAATAATCTAAATTGAAGTTATTAAGAAAATAATTGACCGTTCTTTTAAATGCACCGGAAAGTTATCAATAGTTAAACTTTATTTATATGAACTATGAATTGACATTAATCAATATTATAAATTTGTTGCACAATGTTACAAAAAATATCTTTGTAGTGTAGATTCTAATAAAAATAGAACTATAAAATAATTACGAAATAAAACCAAGAAATAATATATAAGCAAGCAATTAAATCTGGTTATTATAAACTTTATGAATGATTTATCAAATTAATTAATAATTACTAATGTTGTGTAATAGCATAATATGTACCTGTCATAGTTAGTTAAATACAGATCAATAATAATTACAATCTGTAAATTAGTAATTTTTTAAATTTGAATTCTAGTAAATGTAAGTGTTTCATTGAATGGAAATGAACTTCCATTTGTTGAACATGTAGAAACGAAATGATAATAAAAAAACAATTACTCTATTAACATATAAATTATTTTACTTTTATCTAAGTTTTTTTTCACCGTCTTTCAAAGACGTTGCTTTTTGCCTTCAAACCATATGTTGACACATTTTTTTTATATTAAATTGTGTACTAGAAAATCCATTTGTAATTCTTTTTAATCCGGTTCATTTGAAAAGTTTCTCCTATTACACAGCAAAATTGACCAATAGTTCTAAGTTATTGTTTATTCCGTCTTCAGCATATAAAATGTTATAAATAACTATTTCTGAATTATATAATTTATTTGATAATAATACTGTCATAAATAAGTTCTTACTGTTTTAATTATAACTGCTATCACTTTTTACATATATAAAAGTTGGTATACCTAACAGACATTATTGAATCATGTGACATTTAGTGCGGGCGCAGCGCAGCATTACAATAAATAAGTTTAAAATACAGTCTGGATTTAAAAAATTTCATATCAACATGATTGTTTTAATAATAAGATGAGAAATAATCCAATAATACAATACATAACATCTTGCTGATTTTATTTAATTTAAAAACAATTGTTATCATTGTTAGCTATGATACAGCTGTTATTATCATAAGTCATTATAAGACAACTGTTTATGCAAAAAAATGTGTTATTAATTTCATCTCTAAATTTGAACTGCTTATTGTGCGTATACACATTGGATTAAATTGGATGAAAAGTTTTTGTGTCCAAAATGATTCAAAATTAACATTTTTAAAGGTTAAAGACCGTTCTATTTTGAATTTGAAATTATTATGACAAGAAGTTTATATTTGTAAAATGAAGTGCTCTGGCATGATTCCATCTCTTTGATCATCCCGCGGAAGCTGGCGAAATTGCGCAGGTTACTAGGTAAGTAGAAGGATTTCGTGAAAAAGTGGAATAATCATGTTTTAGGTTGGCAGTGGGTGTGAAAAATCGATGTTGGCAGCCGGCGGTAAATTCAAATGAAACGGTGCACTGCACACCCCGCACTGGCCCCAATTAATAACAATCAATGATGTTGGAGTTCTGTCGCTCTCGCTGCCGTTGTTGTTGTTTATGTTGTTGTAATTGGCACTAGAGATGATCTCATTTCGAAAGCCGCAGGCCCGGTCTCGACGAGCACAATTCCATCATCAGAGCGCGCATTTCGGCCGAGAAAGTGAGCCGTCGCAGCGCGTTCCCACCTCGCTCGCGTTCGATAAATCCGTGTTTTCTATTTCATATTTCGTTCGCGATTTTCATTTAGCCATACAGTAAAACACTGTGTATATATATACATATTTGTGTAGTTTTGGATCGTGTTTGAACTATTGTTTGGTTGCCATCGTCATAGTCGTCGATGCGAGTTTGCGTAGCTGTTTTATCGAGTGGTGGACGAGCGTCATGCCCGGGGTCCGCCGCCGCCGCTAAACAAATTTATTGATTCCAATGTTTTGGTTACGGAAGTGCTACTACCAGTACCACCTTCGGCGTGTCGACAGAGTCGATTGATCAGTGTCTTTGGCTACAAGATTTCAGTGCTACGGACTGCAGCATGGATGGTTCTCGCGGAAGAAGATGGATCATCTGGATGGGCTGAAGCAGGAGAAGAGCAGCGGCATCAGCAGCAGTGACTATTTGGAGACGGTTCGCGCACTGCACCAGACTGTGGTTTCGTTGCGTGGAGCTCTGGAGGAGAGCCGAGAAGAAATATCTAAGTTGAAAGCATGGCCCTTAGAAGACCTACAATCAGCAATTAGTGCGCTCAGCATCGAAAACCATCTGCTCAGGCAGAAAATCATCGATCGTGACAACAATAACAAAGCGCATCGCAATGATGGTCTGGAGAAGAGGCTGAGGAATGTTGCCCGCTCTCTAGAGAATCTTTCTACGACTAAAGCACAGGAGCAGCCCGCTACAACTCAGAAATTATGTAAGAAGGTGTCCGTATCGCTGAACCTAGAGATCTACAAGAAGATGGAGCGCGACGGAGAGGCACCCCCGCCGAAGAAGACTGCAGTGTTGCAGCACTCACCCAGCACGGATATGCTGGACCAAGAGGTGGATGACATCGAGCTGATTTTCACCAATGAGGATACCAAGGAGTCAAATCTGAAGGAACCGCTCATTTCGATCGAGCCCAACCACTGTCAGCACTCCGAATTCGATCAGAACCTCTCCGCGGACATCTCCGATCGCGAGTTGGAGGATGACGTCTTCAATGACAATTTTGAAAACGAGAACCAGGAGAACACGAACTTCCAGAGCCAAACGCTCGATTCCATTTACAACTCCAAGTCAGACAACTCGATCAATCGAGACGAGAGCCATGGAGGGAAGAGTCTCAAGAGTTGTTACTCGTACCAAGACTCCAGCTTCGAGAACAAGAGTCTCGAGAAGGACGAGAGCTTCGACCGTTTCGAGGAACGGGTTCGCATCGTCGAGACGGACATGAGCAAGGTCGGCATTCAGGACCCTCTCGAAATTCCCATGGGCAGACGAAACACGTGCCCCAATCCCATACAGTACAGGCCTATTATACACAGGTATTTATACCAGTTACCATGGAAATTCTAATTTTTGTTTTTAATTAACTGCCGAAACCGAATCAATACACACACACCTAACACCTTCAGAAATCATAACATCTGACCCAAATAATGTTTCTTAAACAATGAAATACACACTGTTTCTTAAATACGTTTTAGAAACCTTCTTTTAAAACAAAATAAAGTAAAGGCTCAATGGATATAACAAAATAGCGAATACATCATAATGCTTAAAATCAATTCACAATGAAAATATCATTTAATTTATTAAAAACTTCTAAAAATCTTGTACAAAATAAGAATTGATCTATTTTCTTGGACCGTGCAAGAGACAATCATGTTTTGGGAATATATCCCAAAAATATTTTGATCAATTGTCAAGATCTAAATCATATAACAAGCAATAACTCACTATCTTCACAAAAAAAATATTTATAAATAAATCAAAATGATTTTTATTTAAACAAATATTCAATTAAACTAAAAACCATTTACAAGAAATCAGAAAGTACAGTAATAGAATAATAAACGTAACTGAGTAAAAGAAAGTTTTTTATTCATTAATTGTTTCTGTCTACAGTACTGTAAAAAATAATTAACACTTATTTTGTTCCAAATGATTATAGTTGTAAACTAATTACTATCTTGAATAATAATACAATAAAGACATAAATAACGTTTTTAAAACTGTTATGGGATGAATGAATGAATGAATGAAACGTATGTAATATATTACGACAGACGTGATTATAGAATCTAATTAAACGCGACGAAGTAGAATTTTTTTTACGAAGAATATTATGTTTGCATGACAAAATACAATAGATACATTCAAGTTATTTGTAACAGTTTCTGGTTACAGTATTGTGGTGAATTGTGTTACAAGGGTTGTTTATTTAATAAACCGTACATCAGACACGAAAGTAGTAATAATGCAGTAGCACTAAAAGTAAACTACTTGCAAAAGTCGAATCGATAGCTATCGACAAGCGCTGCTCAAACAACCCTGTACACGATAGATTGACAACTTCATCTTTTTTTATTGAGTATCAAATAAATCAGCCATAAAAAATAAATGAAGACTTCGCTTCCTGCGATTAAAAATTGATAGAAATAATTAACAAGCAAGGGATATAATTATAAAAATGCGCAATTGAAAATCAAATGGAAACAATATATTTTTTATTTTACCCTTCAATAGATGTTTTTTCTTTGTATGAACATCATTATAACATGCTCCATGGTTATCAATAAATATTGCTATTGTATATCGAAAATCTCGACTAAATAGGTCATGTGAGTGCAGTCTTCTGCTTCCAACATCGATGCTACTACGTCCTATATCACCTTTAGTGAAGTACAAATAATGTTAAAGTCTGATCAATGTAAAGTTGGGTTTAACTTAAATACATATTAACTTTTAATGAACCACAAACAATAAATGAGTTTTACTTTAATTTGTTTAAAATCCTATAAGAACGCAGGGAAATATTCATATATTTGTCATCTTATATTTCAAATAAATTTAAATTTGACTAACTGATTTTTTTTTCTATTAATAGTTTTAACTTAAGTTCTATGTGATTCAGTTGCTGTTTTTTAAATTTAACCTTATGCGTAGTTAGGTAAAATAATTGCTTATCCCAAAGCGATTCATAACTAAGTAATACATTTAGAGGTGACTGTTGAAACTATGACTGTGTCACCTTCTACAAATGATTAAAAACAATCTTTAACTACTGGAAATAATTACTCTTTGGTTTCTAAAAAATATTAAATGTTTTACTTGAAATTGATATTATTGTTTAATTTAGCTGCAAATAATCAATATTCCATTGTTAAAATGTGCATTAAACTACGTTCGTAACTATTATTTAATGTTGCAGAAGTACTAAAAATTGAATTGATTGGAAAACGTGAAGCCATTGAAATTCATTATTTGCTTTTATAGTGCATTTTAATTAAATTATCAGACTTTAAATAATCGCTATTTAAAGTTTATATCAGTAATTTCATGACGTTAAAGCAGCTTTTGAGAACAAGTACTAATTGGTATATTTAATAAACCAGTAATATCAATATTCGATAACCAATATGAAGAAAATGATGATGTCCATTCGATTGTTGATATTTCATACGATAGTTAACTTTGACTGTAAGCTCGTAAGTATATTTTAACGAAAGTAGTTCAAACGAATGTTCCGAAGTTATATGAAAAAATTGTTCGTAAACGACTAAAACCTTTAATCACAAGTGATAAAAAATACATTTAATACAATACATAGTCGAATTAAACACTTCTTTGTGACCTCCTTCAAGTACTGAATAATACCCTTTTCGAAAAGATAGTAAAAGAAACAAATAGATATGCAGTAAAGTAAGTAGTCTTTAGTAAATGACTACGTAACTATGGAAATATAAATTTGATATTATTGTGTATTAATAATAAATATTGATCAAGCGATGATTATAAGTGAACAACAAGTAATAGTAATTATTTGAGAGAAAATGGGAATCCATTAGAAAGATGATTGATAATATTCAATTTAGCTATAAATGGTTTACATGTTTGATATAACATTAATGAAAAACAAACGAGAAACCATAGTAATACAAAACTGGTTTATTAACGTATCTCTCTCGACAGAGAGGCTATCGGAAAGGGTCTAGGTGGAAGAAAGGCTCGTCCGATTTTAGCCCATTCGAATGCGATCCGTAAGGAGTCTGGTGCCCAAACGGAAATATCCGCACTTCCGGGGAATTCCTCCTGGAGATCCGAAAGCAGCCTGGCCAATAAGGTAATAAAGTGTGCTGATAATGGATCAAACCTGTCTGCATGGTTTTGTCGATGATGCAGGCGAAGCTCGGCGAGAACTTCACGACCTTACCCTCGAAATACCCGATGCCGGGATCGAGGTTGAGACTGTCGGAGAAGACCGTCGAGGCCCGCAGGATTCTGCTGTCCGATATTGGATTCACAAGCATGGTACCAGAACTCTCCAGGTCTGCAGACCATCTCTGTCCACCGCACATGAAGACGTCAACGGTTTCCAGTTACGGACAATTCCTGAAGACCACCGACCTGTACTCTCCAGGTTTCACTGTAAGCTCATCTCCTTCGCTAATTTATCGATGATTTGTATTGTTATTGTTTGTTCTGCAGTCGCAGAAGTTCGTGTTTACGTCGCCGTCGGAAAGTCACTCGCAGTCCAGATACTCCAGTTTGTATCCGCTGCCGAGTCCACCAGCACCCTCCAGGCGATGTTCAGCTCCAGTTTCGCCAAGTCGCAGGAACATTATACGACATGTACCTTCAAAGGTGCGCTTCGCCAATGGCTCTTTGCCAGAGCTTCGAGGCGATTGGAACTCGACCATGGATAGCGGCGATTCCACGGATAGTCTGGTCGAGGAAGCCGAGCATTATCTGCGGAGATCGATTGACTGCATTGTGAGCGGAAGAGATGCTGCCTACTATAGGTTCAATGCTCCGCCTTTTTGCAGTTCGTTCAGAGCAATTAATGAATATTTCAAATTGCAGCACTCCAAAGACGAGCATGCGAAGGGCTTCGGCGCCGGAACCCTCCAGGGACAATGTTCCTCCGCAAGGCTGGCAACCATTCCTTCCGAGGTTGCCCAGGGACCTGAGGTTAGATTATTGGGTCAAGGTGATAACTCCCGAAGGTCGCGTTCGGGGAGGAAGGGTCAGGTACATCGGTCATCTCCTATCCCACAGCGAGCAATTCGTCGGTGTCCAACTCAGCTCTCCTGAAGGCCATTCCGATGGTACATACAACAATAGAAGATACTTTCAATGGTAATCGATACGGCACGAACTCTCTACATCCTCAACTAACTTTACTTTATATTCTCTCCAGCGAACCCTACCATGGTTTATTCGTGCCATTCAAGAAGGTAATCATGGGCTGGAAGCCCTGAGATCAACATGAACATCAACGGTTTGTCCATGATTTCGAAATTTGCCAAAATTAGTAGAGCTATAAAACCATATATAAATATGTGTATATATTTAGCTTATATTTGCCAACGTTTTGAAGACGAAAACAGTAATTGTTATAATGGATCATGAGCAAACCTCAATTTCGCGCATTTAGGAATTCCAAACGAAATTCCGTTTCAAGTAGATTAATTTAATGTGATTTATTATTAATTAGAAAATATGTATGATTATACGATCCACAAGAACCTTAAATTTCATACCCCAAACATGAAAATCAAATTACTTCTGATGAGGATTTTAACACTCATCTAAAATGGTTAAAAACGTTTAGTGGATTATAATGTTATAATAGATAAACAAGTTCACCTACTAATACTCTTTAAGTTTAAATGAGATCGATGAAGAAGAAAAATATTTATTTTTCGAAAATTACAAAAAAAAATATATATATTTCGAAAATTCAACTTCGTCGTGCACAGGCGAAGGTTTTATAAAAGTTGGTTTATTTTTTATAAAATACACAGGAAGGAAAAAAATCTTGAGTAACATATATTGATGATCAGATGAAATGAACTTGTTTTTACGGAATAATGGATGAATGGAAATGGCACTCTGTCTTCTGCGTACTTTGGCATGAAATTGAGGTCCAATCGACTGATAAATGGTTTGCATATAATGAATATTATTGGCATGACATTTAAACATCGGCGAATTGCGTCATGAAGGGATCGATTGAAATACACGTTTCACATTCATCCATTGTTTCACTGTTATATGAAGATGAACTGTGTACCTATATGTAATATAAACTATATAAGTAATTAAAATTATAATATATTATATGACCAAATAATGGCAAAGATATTTATGGAAACAGGGAAGAAAGAGGGTACTGAAAATTACTGAAGCTTATATTTTGTGCGAGATCGGAACTTTCCCTCAGACTAAGAAACTATTACCGATGGAGTATGTACTTGTAAGGAAATAAAAGTCTAAAGGATAATAATAATATAACATTAATAAAAATACATATCTTCAAGCCTTAATTCTCTTACCGGATATAAAAAAAGATGGGTTATTTTCTTGAAACATTTACTCTAGATGCGTCGGCTGCCTATAAATGCCAAGATAAAAGACGATCGATCGAGATGATTTGATGGTGTTCACGAACTTTTGACCGATCGGAATAAAACAAAAATAAAATACTCGTTCTTTTATGTTATATAAAAGGTATTGTATTTCACTAAACACATAACGCCTCACAACAAAGAAATAATTACTAAAATAATACATAATATGCAGCGCAAAAAATATATAAATCTTCTAGATACGTTATTAATCAACTGCAAAAAAAAAACTGAAACAAAATTCTGATTGTTAAATTACAACAATATTAAAGGGACTTTATAAGTTGATCTCCTTGTATTACTATTATTATTATACAAATACTATATTAAAATCAATACTAAAGATGAAAATAAATGGAAAACCAAACCGATTAATATAGTCTTGCTAGGGATATAAAAAACTTCCAAAAAATGTTCTGGTAGAAGTACGCTTTATTAAAGAAAAAATGCACCACCTGTCCGAGACACACACTGTTTCCTCCTGTGTCCTGCAACCGAAACACAGGAAGATAATTCACCGGCAAATTGTGTCGCTAGTCGATCAGAATGGTTTCCTCCTTAATAAAGAATTCAACTATTTCCTCCTCTACATTCTCCGTATCTCCATCCAACTCGTCAGTATCAACATCTGAAAATAAAAAGAAACAGTGTTAGTTAATTTATCTGCACGCAGTATGCTTAATTCAAATGAACTTACTATTCCTAAGTGCTAGACGTTTAGGCTTATTCTCAATGTATTCGTCGTTCTTGCTCTTCCTGTACTCGTTGAAACGTTCCATCAGTGCAGCCCTCTTCTCGATCAACTCCTTGGAAGCACGAGTCTGCCTCATGCGATCCTTGCTCTCGAATTGGGCGTAGTACTTCTTCAAGTTCTTCTTGATGTCCTTCTGCATTTGATCGGTCAGTAGCGTGTTCGGCCTAGGCCTCCACAGCAACTGTGCGAACTTTTCTTGGTTGATACGCTTCAGGATCTTTCCTTGGAAGGACCAGATCCAATAACCGGTATCGACCTTGGTCTTCCAGACGGACACTCCGGTCACTACGTAACGACCGGTGGGATCCCACTCGACGTCGGACATTTGGAAATGGTCTGTCGAGTTCATCACCAAGAATTCCTTGGTGTCCACGAACTCCAAAGATCCTCCGTTCGAACCGACACCGGCCAAAACGATGTATTGTCCGGTTGGGCACCAGAACAGATGGTTGCATGATCTCTTCTCGAACTTCTTCAGCAGAATCGGCGCTTGACCAATACGGATGCCGTAGAAACTAACGTTAATGTTCGGAGAATCTCCGTGGATGAAAGAGAATTTGGTGCCGACCGGTTCCCAAGCGAAAGCTTGGATCGGTTCTTTGCAGTCAACACTGTCTACAGGGATTTGTTTCTCACGCATATGGAAGATCTCGAAGTTATAATACATTCCGGAATACTTGAATTCGTTCTTCTCTTTGCGCACCTTCGCGTAACGATCTACCTTAACACAAAGATAGTCTCCAGACTTTTGCCAATGGATTTTGCAATCGGCCACGCTGAACAAATTCTTACTCCTGATTTCTTGCTTATTCGGTATTTCCAAGAGAATAACCCTAGCAGGTACATCCTTATCCTCGGCAACCCAATAGGCAATGATGTTATCTGTCGGCGACCAACTGAAGTCTCTAATTCCAGGAATCTTGAGAGACTTTTTGTCCATTAAGAAGAACGAGGGGGTCTCGTACACTGACAAAATCTCGTTACCCATGCGGGCGAAGTATTTATCATCGTGAGACCACCTGAAAATGGGCCATGCTGATGGTCCTTCAGGATCGAAAGATCGTTTCTCTAAACCAGTCCTAAAAAGAAAACAGCATTATATAACAATACTCATAATTAAGATGCAAAAAACTAACCTTATGTCCCAAATGATAATCCTCTTCTGATCTGGGTTGTCTGTATCAATCTGAGGAGAGTAAGTAACCAAATACTTTTCACATGGTGAGTAATCAATGAATTGAACCAAGTTATGTGAGAATTTCTTGTATTGGGTGAAGTTGGGACCAGCCCACAAGGCAATACCTTGCTTGTGGAAAGTGGACAAATATGTTCCCAAAGGTGACCACTTAATGTATGTCTGGGTCCACATCTGTCTGTCTTCCACACAGGTAGGTTCAGGCTGGGTGTTTTGCCAAATTTGCACTGATTGACCAGGCCCATTGACAACACAGAATTGATCGTACGCATCAGGTTCCAATAGATAATAATGCAAATCACCCTGGCCCTTGTACTGCTCAGGAGTTGGAGGCTCCCACTTTTCAGGGATCTTCTCATACTTGTTGAAGTCAGTGAAAATATTGACAAGGAAGGTATGTTGTTTGTCCAACTTATGGTTGTTAGTCAACTTAACTGCTTCTGCTGCATGTAATGGCGAAGAATATTCCAAGAAAATGTAACCCTTGGTGGAACCTTTCTCGTTAACTGGATAGTATTCATTCACAATGTTGCCAAACTTGGTGAACAATTTGTTGATGACAGACTTTAGTTTCTCAATACGGTCAGGACCAACAACTGGCACACCATCAACAACAATAACGCTCTCAACTCCATCAGTTTCCTCTGGTTTATTTCTCAGGAGATCTTCCAGAAGTTCTACAAGAAAATTTAATTTGACATTAAAAATTAACCTAAATTCAACATAGCTTGACATATGCTGGCATCAATGAAACATTACAGGATGCACGTTGCGTGTTCGGCCAAATAAAGGTGTTGATAAACCGGCTAACATAATATAAGATTATACTTATAATCGAACCTTAATTTCGTCGAGAAACACATGCATCACCATTTTGTAGCCACATAGGATCTTGACATGATTTTTAAATTGTTTACCTTCGTTGGAGATGTCGTCTTCGAAGTCCTCAGGATCGCTGAAGTTGGGGTCTTCCTCGGTGGACGATAATTCACCATCGTTTTTTGTATTATCACTGTTTTCGCTGTTTTTATCCTCCACTTTCTTTTTCGCCATTTTGACACGCGTGGTTGCAGAACGCGAGAGGCACTCATACTATACTCGACCACTCAGCTAGTCAAAACGACCGCCCCCTAACGCCGGTTTAGAACTTCCGGCGCGGGAAATTTAACCCGCCAAATTCAAACCTCCAACTGATACAATTCATGTAAACACACAGATCTACCTTTTTCACCTACATACTTACAAATCATTTAAAATATAATCTTCATAATTATTATTACTTAGTAACAATCAACATTTTTTCAGTCAAGGTATAGTTGATTTTTTACATTCAAGGAAATTCCTCAACAAAATTTGAAATGAAAGTAAATTCAAATTACTAAATTTAAATAGTAATTTTCCATACTTATATTGATTAGAACTAAATAAATCATCATAACAAAATGATTTATTTAAATATTTTAAGTATAAAATTGTTTTCTTCAGTTTTCATAATTCATGCAATCTCTTGATAGCAAAATCAATAGTAAGAGACATTCAACATAAATTTGTATGTTAATTTTTATTTTAAATTTAAATATATAATATTTACAGTTAATCTTATAATTAAATAAATAAACCAGAGTATAGAAAATAATGGGAAAATGTAAATAAACCACTACGATTATATAATATAATTTATTTTTCTCTAATATATTATTTATCACGATGGTAACTAACATAATTAAACTTCTACATTTTATATTATGACTTATAAATATAAAGTTTCTATAATTTTCTTTAAAATTTCTAAAATATAAGTCCAAATTACAATTTATATTGTTAATACATCTAATACAAAAACATATTTTCAATTGCACTTCCTGTCACAATACATGATTGTGATTTATTTTTATATTGCTAATTGCAGCTGAAACGGTCAAATTTAAAGATAAGTAGATAATTAAAAAATGGGTGCTATTTACATGAAAATATGGTTGTCTAAAATACTGAATTTAAAAACCGAGAGTTCTTGATTTACAAATTTCCAATTTACCAATTTACTGCTTTGAAAATGTTTTGTTCCGATATTCTATATAAACATTTGTAAAGACGTGAATAATTGTATACTAGTTAATGTTTTAGTCTATTAATTTGTGTAATTAAAGTTATATTAGGCCGTTGAGGATGTCAAAAGTTTTCGAATAAATTTCCTTTTCGGCGTCAATGCCGTATATGAAATCCATGTGGGCCCAGTCCGGAATGTAGAAGGATTTCTTCAGGTTAGGAAGATTTCCGTGTAACCGGAGGACATCGGGCGGTTGGGCCAGAGCATCTTTGCCTCCATGAAAATCGTAGAAAGGAATCTTCACGTTGTCCAACTTGTAATCCGGTGGAGAGATCTGACTGTAGCGTTTCAGGTTTTCGAAGAGGTAATAGTCGAACTTCCGGAATCTACCTGAAAATTATATGTATGTTATTGACGGTTATTACAGGCGATTTCTGTTCGAACCGGAATTCATTTCTTGTATGTAATGGGCCAACTGTTTGGTAGAAGAGCCGACAGGGAAGTGGCCGTATATTGTGGGAAGCATCGAGGTATTCATCTGTTTCGGATTGAAGCCCATCGTCATGTAGAAGATATTGGAGCAGAGAAACTGCGTTTTATCGTTGTCTTTGCAGGAAGATGAAACCAGTTGTCTAAGCATTTCGGTGCTCGGTGCAAAGTTGAACTCGCCAAGGAACAGCTTCAGAGCGGACAACTACTGGAATCGTTATATAAATACTAAATAACTTGAAATTGATGAAGAAAACTTACGCCTCCGACTGCTTCTATAGGAGCTAAAGCCCTGAACATGAAGCTCGTGGTGTGTTTGTGGTAAGCAACCGGTGCGTATCCGATATGCATCTTCACTTTGGAATTGTATTCGGGCCTTTCGGAGAGCATCACCAGGAGTACAGTCGTGCCTTGCGAGTGTCCCAGGTGGTAGAGGCTCTTCGAACCAGTCACGTTAAGTATGTAGTCGATCGTCTCGGGAAGATCGTGCACGCCGATCTCGTGCCAACTGAAGTTCCAGAAGCTTCTTCGATCCCTCTGAGGATTATAATGCGAATGTCTTTCACAGTATTCATTTCCACGATTATTCAACAACCACACGTCGTAACCAGCATCGGATAGCATGAAACCTGAATCAAATTTAAGACATGATGTAAACTTCTTGCATTGTTAATTAGATAGTTTTCACCTAGAGATTTTGGTTGTCTCAGAATCCAGTACGCGGATGATCCAAGTAAGCCGTGGTGGAGGATTATAGGAGCCTTTTTCGTACTATTGCTGGGAATTCGATGATGTGTCAAGATGTATCCATCGCTGGTCACAACTTGGTGTGATTCAAAAGGATACCCATATTTTGTAATAATCTCAGGCTAATAAAAATATAAAAAAAAACTGTTAATTCAATCATTAATTGTTTTTATCATTATTTTAACAGGTGTACAATGTATTGGAGGTAAACTCTGACCAAACTAATGTACCAAACATGTGTATGTTAGTTTCGATGTACTTTATTGACCTTGTATTTAATTGAAACATTGTTATCATCGGTATAATGTGAAGAAATTCGAATGTATCAAAAAATCGTAATTGTATTCGTTTACATGGAAATTCACTATTCGATTAATGAATATTCATGACTGAAGATATTTTTTACAAATTATGTGCATTAACTGAACATTGATTGTAATGTCTAGTAGTTAATTACAAATGGTTAAAATTAACATAAAATTATTAATTAAATTAAAATAGCTGTACAATATGATCTCTCTGTTATCCATTGTGTGATAATATATATATACATATTTTTATTAAAAACTTTACAAATGAATAAGTATGTATAATATTTAGTGACTAGTGCAAGTATCACTTTTTTTAATGTATAATTATATACTATAGCATGAGGTGAAAAACAAAAGTTGTTTGTCAATTTGTTAAAGTCATACGATATTTCATGTCAAATTTCAAGAATATCGGTAAGAATGGATACGAGTAAACGCAATATAAGTGATGTAAAGATAGAAGAAATTCCATCACTAACATAACAAGAAATTTCGAAGTCAATTAAAGCCTATGCAAATTTTCCAATAATGCCAAAATGCATATAGAGTGAAATCACCATGTCTCGTGACTATATCTAAGTGGTTTTAAAGATTCCAGACGGATATTTTTCTGTGTCTCTCTGGTGACGGCAAAAATTGACGAAGAAGCAAGAATGACATAAGGAATGGTAGGTGATGAACTGGGCTTGAATATCATGATTTTGTTGTAAATATTAAGTCATCACTTGGGCTACACGAAGAAATCCACTTGATCAATTCCATGATTTTTAAATGACGACACGTGTTCGTTTTGCCCAATATTTCTTGGAAAATTTTGAAAATGGAGTCTAGCACCTTTAGGAAAATTGCAACAGGTGATGAATTTTGATTCTATAAGTACGACCAAGAAACCAAGCTGCAGTCCACGATATGGAGCGCAAAAGGTGCAAATCCCCCCAGTTAAAGTAAGACAACTAAAATCAGCAACAAAAGTGATAATATCGATTTACTTTATGAGGTCAAAAGTGGTAGCTGCTATCTCACTGGAAACTGGTCAGACGGTAACTACTAAGTACTACAAAGAAACATGCTGATCACAAATTTAAAAAAAAATGTTGGGAAACCAGAAAAATGGGGAAATCCGCCCACTCACACTACTGAAATAACCAATAACTTTCTTGCGCTTTCTACCGACCAGCCAACTTACCGAACTTTTGTTAGATCTCTCGTATATATTATTTATCACACCATTCTCTGTCCAAGACAATTTTAGGATGTTGTTGTTTAGTTATGCACATATAATTAAATTTCCAAGATAATTATTAAGTTATAAGTGATGTTAGAATCCTATTGCATGTATTTGTTGGTAATTATCTTACCTACCTACTTGACCATGGGCCGTGTATTGTGTAAATATATGTAATCTCAATTTTAGTTTAATTACATAATAAACATCTACTTCTAAGAACAATGAATACAAAAAACTACAAAAATAGATTATTTAATTATCTTATATTTCTTATTTGTATTGAATTAAATAGAAAATTAATCTTAAAAATGGTAATGGTAAAGAAACAAATAATAGAATTATACCATGAAATTAATATTTTCCAACTAACTTTAAATTCAAATACATCAATACCTTGCATAGTGCGAGTAATCAGTTTAAAAAAAGAGGAATTTAAAACCCCATAAAAATAAACTACACAAAGAGATTCGATAGTATAATGGAAAAAAAAACGATCATATTTGAATTAAATTGAATTTTTAAATTACATATTAAATTGATATCAAAAGTAAAGAATGCATTTAAAATAAGTTTATATAAATTGATTGAAATCACATTAATTTCATTGAATTTATTTTAATCAAAGAATAATAAATTTAATATGAACTAGATATGTAAATTATTAAGATTCTGACAGATGAAGTCGAATATACTAATATATGTATATTCGTTTTATGAGAGTTTTGTGTCAAATTTTATAGAATTTTTTTTTTGGTGACACTATAATAGTTAAATTAAAAAACAAAGTTATTTATTAATAAAATGCAGAAAACTAAGATTAAAAAACTCTTTTTATGTTTGCTTATATGCAACAAATTATGTTTATTATTATTTATTGATTAAATATTGCAATTTAATTATTATTTTCTGGAAGGCATAAAGAAAATAAGAAATGGGAATACAAAAACATACAAATTATAAATCGAAATTTAATTTCCCAACTATCGAATTTTCAATTTGCGTTAAAAATTAAAAATATATTGATATAATTATTTAGCGCTTTAATTATCAATATTTATTAATCATAGAGTTAATGTCTTGAACACGTTATAGACTTTTAATTAGGTTAGGTCAAGTACCAATAATACTTGAATACTCAATACAAACTTTCATAGGAAAGTAGATCTTATTAAATCTTCTTTAAAGTAATTTTCCTATATAATTTTAGTGATTTAATGTAATAAAGATTCACATAAGATTTTCTTCATCTTCAGAAATTCAATTTATTTGTATTTATTGGTGTAGATTGAATTACATGTATTAGTACGGGAATACTTCGCATAGTGCGGGTATCACCAATATCCCTAACTATTTGAAACCGGACTAATGGAGTACTTTTAATAAAAATAACATTTGTATTTAATATGTTTCACAATTTCTCAGTTTCTTTAAAAAAAAATCAAATTTATATTTGGGTACCTGTTGTTGCTATGTTAAAAATAGTTTTGATGTTGAGACTTAGTTTACTTGTCTTTTTCTTAATTATTGATAAGACTAAATATTGTTTTAGTTTAAAATAAATAATGATACTTTACCGTTCGCAATGTAGCATCGTCTTCGGAAAGATGAGCTGAGGTTGATTGCAAGAGGGACCACAAAACGGTGCAGACGGCGAAGAGCATTTTGTCGATACCTGCATATGCAAAACGAAAAACCACATATACTTTGTTGTTAATAATTCATAACATGAATTCGAATTGCGTTGAGCGGGATTGAATAATGGTAGGATAACAGAAATCACCGCGTGTTTGCATTTCCCCAAGGCCTAATCCGTTGCACTCAAGGAGAGAAAAGACTTACTCTGTGTCGGACACACAGAAGCGTTTTCTCTGCCTTTATTTCCGAACGGGAAAAAAATCTAATTGCAAACAATTCTCACCGGAATGCAGCCTATTCCAGGCTTGGAAGGTGATCGCTTCAATCTGAATGCTAAATGAGCCGAGACATTTAGAGATTTGCTATTATTAAGCAACGCATTTCAATTGATTGATTAAGCTGTTTAGATTTTACAATACCAAATTAATTACTTCCTTAGTGATATATTTCATTACCACATCCATTAACATCAACATTAAGAATAATTAATCACTAAGAAAATAAACATAGAATTAGATATTTAATATAAACTTTTTTATAACGTCGTTTTTACTAATCTCATTATGTCAATTTATTCTTTCATAAAAATCATTAACTGTAACATTACAATATTCAATGTTTTTAACAGTATAATTATGTAACGAGTCGAGTCAAATCGTCTATTTATTTTAGTGTAATTATGTTCTCGTGCAATTAATTTAATTAGTATATTTTATTACTAAAATATTTTATATTTACTATTAAAATTCAAGTTACAGCAAAAGCAATGAAAATATATTAGTCTTACTATTACAGATTAAAGGTTTTTAATGGTATGAATGTAGTGAATGCACACGAATTTATTTCTGATCAAAAATTTAATTACAAATTCTGAAATTGATAATTTCGATAAATTTAAAGTTCATTTAATTTATTCGTATTTCTATTTAAATCTAATCTAAAAATCAAAACAGGCATGAATTCGTTGTGTTCAAAAATTGAAAAGTAAGTCAGTAATGATAAACAATATATAAAGTAGGGAAATTAAACTTAGAATATCTAAAATCTTCTTTATATAAGTAAAAAATATTATATGCTCATTACAATGCATTTGACAAATATTGCTTTTGATTCTAAATAATATTATTACTAGACTAGAACATTACATTAAAATCACAAATTGGTCAGGTAGATAAATTTATATAGTAATTAAAAAGTTAAATTGAAAAAAAAAAATAATAAGAAGAACATTTCATTATTTTGTTTTATTTTCAAATATGTCATAAAAGCATTTTTATCATTTAGTGATAAAATATGGTTTCTCAATTAAGGTTATGTTAAATTTTATTTGAATGTTGTGTTTCGTAAATTATGCATTTTCGATTTTGGAATATTTATGTAAACTATAAAGTTGTATTGTTGTACTTTATCAAAACAAATCGAGATTTAAGCTAGAAGTGAATATTATAACACATAATTGAAATGCTTAAATAAAATCCATTATATGTTTAAAAATGGATCTGTTGCAACTGTAAATTTTATTTAAAAGTTGATACAATCACTGCATTTTTATGAAAAATTAAAGTTTTCGTTTTTGATAATTAATTTAAATTATTTGATATATTTAAATTATAAAACAAATTCATTTCATGATGATGCATTTTCAATAGATTTTTTTATTCTGCGATTATGAAGTTTGCTATTTTATCTGATTATTTTCTATTTTATTATGATTATAATTTTATGTCATATGCATATTGCATAAACATAAAAGATCAACGCGTTTTTTACAATATTTTTTTTTTTGCATTTTAGAACTTTCATTTTTTTATTACTTTCACTACAAATGATAAAAGTAGTTATCATATAGAAAAAAATGAAAATTACTATTGACTTAATTTTGTTCCAGTTTCTGTAAGAAATGTTTTTATATCAACAAATGTTGATGGAATGGTTACTTAAAAGAAGTATTATTGAAATTACAATAGTTCTCGTTAAATCCAGATTGTAACTTCCAGGAAAATTAATAAAATATTAAAAACATTTATAGAATATACAAACTGTTAATAACATATGAATAATACAATTTCTTCAGGTTTGAAGCAACAACAATTCTGTAAAATTTGCACAGCTTACGACTTACTATAAAAATGCAAAGAACCAGAAATAGAGAAAATATAAAATTTGCAACCAGAAAAACAAAAAAAAAAACAAACTAAAACTAACTTTTATATGTAGCACTTTCTCGCGATTGTATGCGCTCGCGCGTTTGAATCTTTGAATTGACTGCGTACAGAATATCGGATTCGCTTCATACCTGATTATTCTTATTAGTTTGTTTGTTGTTTTACTAATGCATTCACCTAGCAACTCAAGTTAGAACTGGCACGAAGACGTCGAAAAGAAATTTTCGCGGAAATCTCTCTGCTCGCCACAGTTTACATAACAAATCGTCCGCGAAACAATTTTCACCTCGTTACTAACTATCACCTTTTGCTAGCCTCAATACATTGTTTTCTCTTTCTCCTGAAACAAAAAAAAATATATCGTTTTAGAAATGAGAGGAAGAGAATTATAAGACACCAAGAAAATAAAACAAAAAATAATTGCATAGGAGCGTTTGGATTTCTATTCCAACTGACTTACACAATTATTCAAATGTGTTATTATAGTTGGACCGTTAAACGCAAGTGCACTTTTATTGCATAACTTTAACTAAGAGTATTACTGATCACTAGTATAAGAGGCGCTGTTTTTTATTTCATTATTGAATTACCAATAAAAACATGCTATGATTCGTTATTAAAGAAGAAAAGAAAAACGGTTGAAGAAGTGACAAAAGAAATAAAAGATATATATTTAAGAAGACGGAAGTCATTTAATTATATTGTAAAGAAGAATTATTACATACAAAGAACATACACTATTTTATAAGGTAAAAGATCTAGAATTTGTTTGGAGAGAAAGATACTGAAAGAAATATAACTTACAAAAAAGATAGATTGATAGAGTTGATGAGGCGAAGGAAGATCTTAAAATAGAAGAATTCTGTAAACAGAAGTAGCTGAAGGAGATGGAAGAGTCGAAGGGCATGGGAGGATATTGAAGAAATAGAAAACAAGATATGTTTCCATCATCGAATGGCGAAGGTTGAAACTGAAAATTTGAAAGAAAATGTATATTACATACTCAAGGCTTAAAAGTTTGTCATGTCGCGGGAAACATCTCTGAACACCGCGGATTATCTCATAGTTCTATCATTGTTAGTCTTAACGGAGTTATTGATTATTAAATACAATATTATTAAATTTTGTTTAAAAATCACTGTTTTTATTAAGATGTCAACTTGTTTTGATTATCAACTAAGATTTACATTATTCTCTTATTATAATTAAAAAGTATTATCTTACCTTGATCCACCAACTAAGACTTCTATGAGTATAACTAAGACTAACTTTGTAGTAAGGAATTAACATAGTACGAGTACAAAATTTGGAAAGGGAAGATAGTGTTAACTCGTATTTGGGTGGATCTATATGACGTCTATATATATTTGTAGTAATTATCGAATTGACTGGTAAGCACTTTCAAATTTGTATATACACTAATTTTACATAGTGATTAGGAATAGTCATTACATATTGATTAGTCGTCGAATCTTTTAAAAGTGGAAAAGTACTGATTTGTTGTAGAAGTTCATAACGTATAAAAAATATAAACAATAAATAAAAAACAAGTTGAAATAAGATTCAGGAGTTTTCTATAACGAAAAAAGTAGAAACAGAGAAAACAATTCGACATATGAACAGACCTTTGGAACGGAACTAGTTTGTAAGTCGGAGCATTTTTTGTACCCTATAACACATTCTAAAATATCAATAAAAGAAAACAATAATTAGATACTATTTTTATTGGTTGATAAAACTAATTATAAAGGTTATATACATTCTAATCCAATCATAAAATATGCTAAAACTATTGACTTGACTGATACTCTTAAATATTATAGTTTTTTCATCTCATAAATGTTTAGGGTCCATTGGTAGCTCTATTAAAGTGTTATTATATTGTATATATATAAAATATATACGTTTCTATTTTATTGCAGTTTTCCTTGAACTTTTGCTAACTGTTTGAATTGTCCTATCATCAGATCCAACTGCGTGGTTATTCTGTACTCCAAATCGAATTGCTTGCAGGTTTCATACAGCACGGGATAGAGATGTTTGAGGATGCCATGATCTAAAGTCGGGAACAGGTGGTGCATGCAGTGGTCTCCGAAAGTAGTCAAGACCAGAAAATCGTTTCCGGTTATATCGGTCTTGTCCATCACCGTGTCCAATATGTGGATGCCCCAATCCAGCTCTCCTTTCTCTTTGCTAAAGAGAAAACCAATAATTAGTATTAGTGGAAGATGAGAATGCGTCATTGACTTACCTAGGTTTATCTCCGTCGTGGAAGATGTCCGGATGATGGTGAGCCGCTGTAACACCGATAAACCCAAAGTGCAAACCTAAACCTGTCAATAATGCACCATATACCAAGAGGAAATTAAGGAAACTGCCGGTGGAGAAGAAGTACATCAAAGTGAATGCGGCAATCGGTAGCAAAGAAGCCTTGTGGAAGCTTTTACCTCCATCAATTATAAACTGAATAACCCTGCAATTCAACAATAATAATTGTAGAAAACACTTGTTGCTGCAAAATATGAATGAGTAAATAATGCTTACATTTTAATCCAACTAGCGGGTAGCATCATCAAGTACACGATCGGACTGTACAACCAGGAGATGTACCTATAAAACGGGTGCTTATTCACAGGAAGATATTGGAACCAAGGTTCCATTGCGGAGATCTCCAAATCATAGATAGTGTTTGTGTAAATGTGATGGCTGAGGACGTGCGAGATGCGCCATCCCTTCGATGATAACAGCGAGAAATCGAAGTAATGCATCCGGAAGTTGTCCCTTTGATGGAAGAAGTTGTGCGCTGCAATCGCCGTCATACTTAGGAAGATCCCTGAAGCAAAACCTAAGACGTAACTCTGGAAGTAGGCTGCTGCTAAGGCCAATAATAAGTAGCTGAAGAACAAGCAGTCAGCCATCAATTTGGTCTTTTTATCATCCTTATGGTCGATAGTCTTCAGCGCCTCTACGCAATTACTTTTCAATGTCTTGTAGAAACCATCATCCTTTAAGGTGAAAGGCGTATTGCGAGGTTCTTTTGCTTCTCTCACGTAGAACTTTTTTACTATGGTTTCAGGTACGTTCGAAAGATGATGGCATGTAAAAGCCTCAGTAATATCAGTACCCTAGAAATCATTACAAATAAATCAATGTTTCTTCTAATAAATCAATAACATATAATTAGATCATCTACAATTTGGCTTTTCTTAAATATATTTCAATAATAAACATTATTTATTATACACAAGCTGTTGAGCGCAATCCTTATGCCTATTGTATTGAAATTATTTATATAAATTTGGATTAAACCTTGTAGAACTCATACGTGTTATGTTGGTTGCATTAATCTCCAATTTTAATTTAAATATACTAATATTGTCCAATACGTAAATCTATGACCTATCCAAAGTAATTATTATTTTGACATTGACAGTTTTGATTTGACGTTTAATTTTATAATTGTCATATTTTGACTCTATGATAAAGTCATTTTAAATGATATATTTAAGCTTAATATAATTCTGGTAATATTTGTAAGTATATTCAAATTATAACCACTTCATTAAAAACTCAAAATATAGAAATAGTAATTTCTGATAATCTAATTTAATTACCAAAATTTGATGTATAGCAAAATGTATAAGAATCAAAAGTCTTAAGTGATAGTACTAAGTACCTTAGAAAATTTGAGCCAGTCTTGTCCTCCAGGATGTTTCTCGATGAAATCCGTCAAATCATAGAGACTGTCATTAATGCGCCAAAGGTTTTCAGCTCTGTCATCCGTCCTCTTGCCCTCCAACCATTGTTCCGGCGTGTGCAAAGGATGATCTCGAAGGGTCGGATATGGTGTGGCGAAGCCCAATGTTGACTTCGGCTTTTCTGGGACTAGTTGTTCCAGGAAGCGTTGCATCTCGTTCTACAAACAACAACAAATTATTGTCTCCATACTTAATGCAGTTAGTACAGCACGACCACGAATTTAAGAAACTACTTACGTTATTAAATAGATAAAAAAAAAGTTAGTACATCAATTATTGCACTAACGAAGTAAACAGCTTCAACTTCGTTTGATTTTGTTATTTCATTATAGCATTTTTAATAGTTGAATATTTTACATGTTTAAATTGACCTTCAACCGTAAGTTAATTTAGGAATATTTACGTTTCATTGAATTGAATCGTTATGCCCTGACCTAAATTAAAATTACTTTTAACGTAAGAAATACATTTAAAATATTAAATGAAACAAAATTTAGCTTCTTTGCAAACACAAAAAAATTATAATCTAAAAACAATATCTAAAAATAGCGTACAACACATTAAATATTTGTTACGTAAAATAATGAACGTGCAATTACTATGGATTATACACACTTCGGAATATAAGTAATGCAAATTTTATGATCGATTCTCTCTTACCTCGGTTTGTTAACTAGTTATCAAATGTTGTTGTAGTGTACCTTGTAGTGCTATTAATAAAATGCAATTATCTATATTCAATGACGTAGAGATTTCTAAGTGATTTTATGAATTGATAAAAAATGACTGAAAATCTTGAAACATGTTACATTTCAATCTTGTTTTAATATCACAATTTATATTAAAACAATATCATTTAATTTAATATATGATGACTTTAATAATCCTGTATTTTATAGCGATATTTGCAATTTAATTTCTTGTCCGTATTTGTTTATGTTTATATTTAACTATATAAGATATTAGAACTGATTAGATTATAAATTTTAGTTTATAGAAAATACACATTTTTACATTTTTTTTTAAAGATTAAGATTATTAATTGTAAGCAGTGAAAAATTAATTTAGGGCCATGATATGTCAACTGTGGGCAAATCCGACTCTTCGTTGAGTGAAGTGCGGCTTCCATTAAAAATTGAATTTTATTACTAAAATTTTGAAATAATGATTTTCTTTTCATAATTATATCTTTTTTTATATGTTTTCTTATGAACTTGTGTATCTACGTTATAAAATATTGAAAACTGGATTGCGGCTCTTTTTGCCCTCATGTGGAATATATATTTGTTATTAGGTTTTGTTAAAAAGTCAATGAGCAAAAATGTTTTGATTGCGTGAATTTGTATATAAACTTATTACAGAAGTAAATATTTTTTAACAAAATAGTGAGAATCAATCACCCATCCAAATATTTAGCGCGTCATGTATTGCTTTTTTAATTGTTTAATGATCTTTTTTCTGTGACCAAAAATGACGTAGACAATTTTAATTAATTAAACCAAAAAATCTTATTGTACTGAACTTGAGATACACTTATCTAAGAGGTCATTGAGGGACGTTAAATCATAAATAACTTTGACTGATTCCTTCTAATCTTCTTATTACACAGTTTATTTTTAACAATTACGCTGTACAGAAATACCTTCAATTGTGCGACCTTAATTACCTAACAGTACGTTTTGAAAATTTAAAACTAAATTTTCATTTTGATCTGTCACTGTTATACAATTTACTAAATTTGAATAGTTAAAAATTATGAATAGTACAGATAAATATATAATAATTTATGAACTTACTGAAGGATTTATGCTTAGATACGATACGTAAAAGGTCAGGAAAGTTGAAATTATATCTTACTTACTATTTGGCAAACAGGAAGAAATATTTGCATAGATGTCAAAAAATTACATACCTCGTTTTCTCAACTGACGAATGGCAATGAACTGAACTGTTTCACCCAGAGTCGAGGAATATAAATGAAAAAAATGCAATTATCTAGTTTAGATATTTACATTTCATTAAATGCATTTATTATTAATTTTATGTAAATAAATGTAAATTTGTATCGATTTTTATTTATCATTAACACAAATGAACAAATTATATTGTATTTAACCAATGATGATTATATATGTAATGCATATTTAATTGATATGTTTTGTTTCAGAATGATTTTTGAAAAAACATTTTTTTGTTAATGTTCGTATTGTTCGCAATTGATTGTTCATCAAAATGCAGGATAATATGACCAAAAAAAGAACATTTTTACAGAACATTAGGACTTGTAGTTGGGTTATCGTGCAAAGTTACTACAAGAAATAGGAATAAAACTTGAAATAATGGTAAAAAGTAAACTTAACCCTTTGTCTACAGTAGAACTAAGACACACTGAAAAAAGTACAGTCATATCTTGATTAAAGAATTCTACGAAATAACTTCGTTTTCATAGGTAAAAATAATATGGTTGATTTTCGAACAAAGAAAAGTATTATTAAATAAAATTGTTATTTATAAGAATTTATTACATTTAACACTGATAACACTAAAAAAATCATTTTCAATACCATTTAAGTACGTTTTTAAATATAAACAGAAACTTTAATTTTTCTTTGTCTTTGTTCCTAAAAATCTAAATTAGAAAACCATCATTTTCATAAATTTCTAGCATTCTCTTCATGGACATTTTTGAAACCTATTAACTAAAACATAACTTCTTGGATGTACTTCTTCTAGGTGAAATTATATTGGGTTGGCAACAAAGTAATTGCCGATTTTCTTATACAAATATATTCATAATTATATTCAACATAATGAAGTTGAATAAAACTCATAGAACTTCTGGTCATTATCTGCAAACAACTGAACTAGGTGTAATTTCACAGCATTATCATAAAGCTCTGAACAAATGTCTGAATCTGATGATGCTAAGTCAAGGCTATACGGCGGATGTGACATTACTTCTCTACCAAGCGTCAATAATGTTTGGCGAGTGACTAATGATGTGTGTGGTCCAGCTTTGTCATGGTGAAATGCAACAGCATTACGATTTACCAACTCTGGCCATTTTTCTTGAATTGCAGAGTTTCATCTGTCCAATTGGCGACCATTTATACCTGAATTAGTCGTTTGGTTCCTAGAAAGCAGCTCAAAATACACAATACCTCAGTAATGTCAACAAACTAACAGTATAATTTTCATTTGGTGCATTTCAGTTGTTTACGCTGGTTCATTTTCTTTAGACCGGTTTCATTCTATGTTATGATAAACTATTCATTTTTCATCACTAGTCCGTTTCAAAAAAGGTTCAATTTTATTTCATTTGAGATCCAAATTGTAAATATCGAGTTTTTTAATGAATCCAATATGTTTTAAATTATTTTCAATTGTTGTGTGCGATACATTTATCCTTTCTGCAGTCTCTCGGACAGGAATATGACGATCCGAATCAATTATGATTTTGATTTGATCATCATCAACTTCATTTGGCCTACCAGATCACAATTCATCTTTGAGTGAAAAATCACCAGAACAAAATTTATCAAACCAATTCTGGCACGTTCTTTCCTTTTCAGAAATAATAACGCAAAATATGACAAAAAGGAACGCTTTTGTTAAAATCTCACAAAAAACATACTTAATTTGGTATTTCAGAAAGCTAAAGTTTACAGCATTCAAAAGAAACACTGCTTTTATCCAAATTTAAAATTGACAATTCTTCTTGCTGACTTTTTTTCAAAAACTCTCAATGATTTTTTTTCCTGACATTTCTTCTTTATCCATTAATTCAATCAAATTATGAATGTATAGTCTTTGATGTTAAAGAAATAATATAATAGTTACCAGAACATCAAAATAGGTTGTGTTGAAAACTACTACAAATAAATGAACAAGTATCTTTGCACAATGAAGCTACTCAAGTCAATTCTAGAATGAATTGTCCTCTCAAAAATTCTTGCAGAATCGAAGCGTTATTATAGTATATAAACAAAATATGTATAAGAAACATCCATGCAGTCTCTCAGTCGATGCGCCTTTTTAATCAAATTTCTTGTGACGTCAACATCTATTGACTTTTAAATTAATAATAACAACAAAATTTATTGCAATAATTATACGATAATAAACATAATTACAGATAAATAAGTGTGAAATAACTTAAATGCTATAATGTAATATGAATATAATTATTAAAATTTGATTTTTTTTATTTAATAATATGAAACATTAATGTAATATAAAAAAATATTCTAGTATACGGTAAGTGAGTCGTGGAATATTTTAATATTTTATAAGAAAAAAAAATTTGAAATAATTTTTTTTTGGAAATTCAATTAATAAACTAAAATAATTAAAATTCAGTGAAGTAAGACGAATTGGAATTTAAGTGAAAACCTTGAACTAATCGAGGCCGCTTTCAAGGTTTTTAAAAGAAATCGATTCAGATGAAAAGTCTCTGAACAATTGCGATTATAGACGAAATTGAGAAGGTCAATTTTTCACGCCAGAAAATTAAAAACCGTTCTTGGTTCTACATATATTTTGTTTGTTATAAAATAGAATAATTTGCCTACGATTATTTTTTTTGTATTTATTTATTGAAATAATTATCATTACCCAATTATCAATTCTTTTTATCTATAAAGTACTTTTGATGTATGAATAATTAATGTCTAGCAAGTTTTTTTTTTATATTATCCTATTTATTCATGTATTACTGATTTTGAAAACAAAATAAATTGTAAATATATGATACAAAAACATATCTTGCACTAATTCATATATTGGGTGAAGTAAAAAGTTCTGAGCATTTTTCGTTACATGGCTTTAGTGGGCCATATCTCACGATGTTTACGTTGCATCTTGTCATTCTATACTGCGACTTAAAGGCGACATAACGCTTTAAAAAAGTTCTTTGATAGTTTTGTGTTTAGTGAATCCAGTTGTGTGTTAGAGCGTTCCAAAATGGAGGTAAAAAAAGAGAAAATTCGATACATTTTTCAGTACCACTACGACCAAGAGGAGCAGGCGACCAAAACAATTTGTGTTGTTTATATTTGTCTAATATTTAAATACTAAAAATTTACCAGTAACAATTTAATAGCTAATGAACTTGTTAAAATTATGTTGATTATTTAACAATACAAAATAAGTCAACTGCGTCAAAGAGCTAGGTTTTTCTACCCTATTTACTATTAATATTATTTGGTATTAAATTTATATTTTTTAAAATTAAATCAACTTTGATTGAAGAAAAAAAAACAGAAAGTGTGAATAACTTATTTTTTTTTAATTGTGTTAGGAAAAAATGCATTACAAAACCGAAGAAAAGATTTACATTCCTA